CTATCTATCTGTCTATCTATTATTGTTATTATTATTATTATTATTATTATTATTATTATTATTATTATTATTATTATTATTATTATTATTATTATTATTACTACTACTACTACTACTATCAAGGGGGGGGGGGGGGCTACACCCCCAAAATCAAAATTCGGCTCAAAATCATGGAATTTGAGTTGTAGGCATTTTTAGCTTCCTCAGCCTCTCCTACAACTATTTCATGGCATAAGAACCCCAAAAATCGTATTTTTTCCCATACCGGGCATGTTTGTAACCGCCATTTCCTCATAAAGTCAGTAGTTTATTTTTCTTTTATCAGCTGTTTTCTCAAAATGCGACTTTTCTCTATACTTTTTTGAATGACTCCACCATTTTTCATCCAATCGTCATGAAATTTTCACAGAATCAAGAGAAGAGGTAATACTAAAAATTTGTCTGTTGAATTTTTGATGGATTTTTTTTGGTGGTGTCTGGAGTGTTGATTTTCACGGATTTTTCGCAAACTTGAATGCTACCTCAGGAAAAAAATCATTAAAAAATTTCTAATTCGATTAGGAAAAAAACAACAAATAAATTTTTAGGTCTAATGTTTGTAAACACGCATGCAAAAAAACAATCAATTTCCATGAGCGGTAAGTGCGGTATTCATTACGTAAGACAAGTCAATAAAATCCAGTATGACGGCGTATCCATGCAAACGAAACTTTTTTCTCAACTTTGATTGCGGATTTGAAGACTCCGTACTATGCTTGTTTTATGTGTGAAATTTGGTAAAATTCGGTCCAGTAATAAGCGAGATAGCCTCCATGTGTAGCCCCCCCCCCCTCCCCCTTTAAAAGTGTTATGGCACTTGCAGCACAAATAGATCATATAAGTGACGAAGGTTAGAGTTGCTATAAGTTGAGAGAAACATAGAAAGAAAACAAAAGGAGTAGAGAAAGAAAAAAGCATACTAGAGCATCCAACAACCACCCGTTTAGTTTGTCGGTTCTGTTAATTAACTATTGCTGTACACACTTTGCTGTTTGACGGGGCTTCTTTTTTTTTTCTTTTTGTTTTGTTTTGTTTTTGTTCTTGTTCAAATAGGGGAGTAAAAAGAACCCAGTTGGCGCTGAAAATACAGTGGAGTCTGCCTAAAGTGAACACGCTTTATTTGAACAATCGGTTAAAGTGAACGACATTCTGTGGTCGCGATTGAAACGCTATTTGTTTCAGTGAAAAAAATAGTGGATAAAATGGACCGGTTTCATGGGGAAATCATATAAAGAGAACTCTCAAAATGAGTAAAACTGAAGAACGGACCGACCCTGTCACTGTCGCCATGCTGTGAAAATAAAATTATTTGCCTCGGGCATCGGCAGACAATCCCAGCTCGGCATTGGCGACGACAGTCTCAATCAGAAAGAAAGAGCTCTAGTCTAGGCTCGCCTGCTGTTGTCCCCCCCCCCCCCACCCCACCTCCACCCTTGACCCACCACTGCGCGTAGCTACTGTTTCTGGGCCTCCACCCTACCAAAATGGTTAGACTGTCCTGAACCTCGGATAAAGTGAACACTTTCTCCTGGTTCCAAAGAGTTCACTTTAAGCGGACTCCACTGTATGTCCTTGTCTCTTTGAGGACGCACGCACTGGTCATTTGACAACTCTTCAAGACGCACGGTTTTCAATTGTAACTTCTTAATTCATTCAAATGTCTCATTTGACTTCTTTTCCGGATACTATAAAGGGTAATCAGTAACATGCACACTATATAATTATGCCAGTTAGTGTTTCTGATTTGTGCATTATGGTTCGAAATGAGCCACATGCCACATCATTGTCCTCTGTCTGCTGCTGATCAGCCGTGTGTCCGCTTCGTCTTACTTGAAGACGTTTTTTTTTCACCCCCAGGTGTCCTGATTTTGGCGCCGATTTTCATTGTTGGTTAGCCCTGTGTAAAAATGTGCCAACATGGTGCAGACTGTTCTGGTTCCAGAAAAACAAAACAAGAAAAGGGGGAATTGTTTGGTCTGGGATGATGATGATGATGATGATGATGATGATGATGATGATGATGATGATGATGATGATGATGATGGCGGCAACGATGATAATGCTGTAACTTTGGAAATGATGTGCAGGTTAATCTTGTTGTTTGGCGCTTACTCTAGAACCCTCGGGCTGTCCTGGGGGCAGGACATAGATCTAACCCCAACGTCTGCGTTCGTCGCGGCCGCTACTTTTGGCATTTTTAATCGGGGCCGCGATTTTTGCATTCCCCCCCTCTCCTCCTCCCCCCCCCTCCCCCCCCCCGCCCCCCCCCGCCGGGAATAAAAATCGAAAAAAGGGAAACAACAACCACCCCCCCCCCAAAAAAAAAAAGAAAGAAAATAACTGGACTTCTTTACTTTTAGAAAAAAAAGTTTATTTCCACTTCCGCCTCGCTTCGTCTCTTTCTCACTTGTTGACACGACGTTGATCTGTTATTTTCATGGGATAAATTATAAGTACATTACATATTTATATTGCTGTTTGTCTTTTATTTTTCCCTCTTTGTTGTGTTTAAAATTTGTTAGTACGTTGATTTCTTTATTGTTATTGTTCTCAAGGGTTGCTTTTATATTTGTATTTTTTAAATTTTCGGTGCGTGTGTTTATATATGGCGTAATGTCATTCAATTTGATGTTGTCCCTTCCTTTAAAATTTTTTTAATGTTTTATGTTAGAGCGTGTCTCTACCTAAACCGAATACATGTATAGACACTGGCAGGCCTCTTGTGTGTGATTCCATAATTTAAATGTAATATCCTGAACTTTTTCTTGAATTACACACGTTTAGGGTTAAAACGGCCAATCATCGGAGGAGCGCTGTTCTCTTTTTGATTTCATTCTGTTGTGAAACCTTTATTTTTCACCCTTTTACGCTCTGTGTGGCTACAAATGATACTCTGGATGCCTAAAACAGACCACAAGAAATTATGGTGCTTTAGATCGAGTTCCTTCTATCAACTTAATGCTATATACGTCGTCAAAGAGAGTTGAAAGCTTGAGAATTAATAGCAACTTTTAGGGCAACTTTTGCCATTTTTTGTGGCATTGGACAAAAAATGGCAACAAACGCAGATGCTAGATAACCCTCATTCCCAACTCGTCTTGAAGAGTTAAACTCTTCCCTGTTGTGAAGACGTATGTACTAGATTGTTTTCTCCCAAAGCAGTTCTATGCCTTTCCGTCAACTGCATGTAGGTTAACGGGGATATTTTAGAAGCGATGTATTTGAAACTTGTTCAGTTGATTACTCTTAATAAGGGGAAATATATTAAGGCTTTGTTTGAATCTCTCTTGATTGAACATTTCCCTTGTCTTCCTAAACGTAGAGGGGAACGCCTAAGCACTGAAAGGGTTAAGAATGTTGGGTTGTTGTTGTTGTTGTTGTTTCTTGTGTCAATAATAGAATTATTATGTCTTTTCTTATGTCAACAACCTGGGACGTCGCAGACGACCTATTATTTAGTATAATTTGATATTTCGCGACTAGGCTACAGAACAAGGTTATTTCCCACTGACGCTCACTGTTTTTATGATTTTAGTTTTTGCACGCTATATTTCCCTCGAACAAAGAACATCGAGGTACCAAGGTTTTGTCTCAGAAAAAGAAGATACACCTGAGTTCTGCTTTTTCCATAGATGAGAGAGAGGGAGAGAGAGAGAGAGAGAGAGAGAGAGAGAGAGAGAGAGAGAGAGAGAGAGAGAGAGAGAGAGAGAGAGAGAGAGAGAGAGAGAGAGAGAGAGAGAGAGAGGCAGGTGCGGTTCTTTTACTGGGCAAGACCGGCGGCGCCGGTCAGCTTTCGTCGGCTGTACAGTGGACAAGAGATTGATTGCCGACGATAATTTTTATTTAGTTTCAAGTAAATACACATTAATATCTAATCAACATTCAAAAAGCACTCGTTCTTTTTGCTTTTACTGAATTAGAGAGACAACAAAGGCAACCACGACACCTGCAAGAACAGCATCAGCAAAATCGCCTCTAATATCAACAAGAATAAGAACAAGAACTAATAACGACAAGCGTGATAAATGCACAACTTACCTGTGGGTATCTTCAGCGAGGTGTTTACGACGAGCTGTTCTCCAGAGAGCTAAGTCAGTCGTCTATCGTTACAGTTCACTTACTTCCTTACTTACTACCTCACCAACTTTCTTAAAACGAAGGCATCACAGAAAGCGGTCTTTGCGTCTAGAAGGGATGAAATTTAGGCCAAATTTCTCCAACTGGAACTTATTCCTACTCCGTAGGACGAGCCTATTCGCCCATACTTCGTGTGTGCCGGGCTCTTATTTAAAACCAACGTGATACCAGTGTGTCTCCAATAAAACAACTTCATTAAAATAAAAAATTGTAAATCCTTATTTTATTACTTATCCAGGCAAGTGACCATCCCACATAATTATTAACAGAAAATA